ATACAAAAAGATGTTGAGATTGTAGGAAGAGTGCAGAGAAGAGCAATAAAGATGCTTAGGGGGCTGGAGCCTAAAATATATGGATTGCAGGAACTGGGTATCTCTAGTCCTTACCAGCAGCACCTTAAGCTTATTCTTGATTTAGTTTGCTTGCTATTTAGTCCAGGGGTCCCCAACCCCTGGGCCATGGCCCATTACTAGGCCTTGATCCTTTTGGAACCAGACTATGGAAGTGATGGGCGAGTGTGTGCCTCCCCACTTGCACAATTGGAGCTGAGAAGGACTAGGGGTGACACAATCTTCCAATATTTGAATTGCTATCACAGAGAAGAGGGGGTCAACCTATTCTCCAAAGTATATGAGGGCAGGATAAGAAATGACAGATGGAAACTTATCAAGAACTAAGAAGAAAATTCCTGACAGTGAGAACAATTAAGCAGTGGAACGGCTTGCCTGCAGTTGTGGATGCTCCCATCACTGGAGGTTTTAAAGAGATTAGAAAACTATTTGTCCAGAATGGTATAGGGCAGTGGTGAAATGCAAAATTTGTTACTACCGGTTCTGTGGGCGTGGCTTCGGGGGGGTAATATGACTGAGTGGGCATGGCCAACTTTTTTTTTTACTTTTAAAACCATTTTTTCTACAACCTCTTCGGCTGAAGAGGTTGTAAAAAAAATACTTTTAAAGCCTCTGACAATCCCAGCTGACTTGCCTGATCGGCAGAGGTTTTCTTTTTTTTTTAAAGCCTCTGACGATCCTAGCTGACTTGCCTGATCGGCAGAGGCTTTTTTTTTTAAAGCCTCTGATGATCCCAGCTGAGCCGCGCAATAATCAGAGGCTTTTTTTTTTTACTTTTAAAAGCATTTTTCGTCCAAAGAGGTTGTAGAAAAAATGTTTTTAAAAATTAAAAAAAAAGCCTCTAATGATTGCGCGGCTCAGCTGGGCAATGGGGGGAGGGCAGGGATTTTTGCTACCGGTTCTCCGAACCACCCGCCTCCATCACTACCAGATCAGGAGATCCGGTCCCAACCGGGAGCATTTCATCTGGTATAGAGTCTCCTGCTCTATAGCAGGACTAGGGGGTCGGACTAGAAGACCTCCAAGGTTCCTTCCAACTCTGTTATTCTGTATCTGGAGTTACGAGGTCATAATTTCTCTTATCTCGTTATTCAAGAATGGAAGATTTGAGACAACTTTATGAGTTCTTCTGTATCCAGGGAAGGCCTTTTCAATAAAGGTTAAAAAGCTATCTTTCTTCATTAAGAATATAAAACATTCTTAATATAAACAATTACGAAGATATCTAATAAAATATAAAATATTCAAGGAAACATTAATCACTATAAGAAATAGTGGGCTAGTACCAGCCTGGCAGTTGTTATTATTATTATTATTTTTTATTGAAAAAGTTTTCAAATACAAATTTTTCCCCCTTTTTTTCCCCCTCTCCCTCCCCCTCCCTAACCCCCCCTCCCCACCCATCCCCCCTGTGACTTCTTCATAACAAAAAAAAAAACCTAATTCATAACAGATTACTTACTCCCTCCTCTAGATATTGACCTTTACTTACTAAAAATATTATTAATATCATAACATCCCCCTTTATCCATACATTTCAGAAAAGAGAAAAGAAAGGAAAAAAAAAAAAGACATTATACTATGACATTATAGAATAACTTCTCCACTTTAAAACTATACGATAAGTCCTACTTTAACATTTAATCTTCTATATATATTACTATAACATTTCAAAGCGGCCTTCCCCATAAAATCTAGTTTAACATTTATTCCACTCTATCCATTTCCTCCACTCCCCTAAATATATCACTTAAAAATCCCTTTTCTTAGACTAATCAATCTACTAACTAGCTTATTCACCCACTATCATGCAAAATTACCATACACAACATTTCTTAATATCTTTGATTCACTGCCCACACTACTTAAAAATATATGTCTATATTTTCCATTATATCTAAATAAAAAAAAAGAAAAGACAATGACTTTAAATTTATAATCCATATAGTATCTTCTTTGAGGTCTTTCCACTGGATTGGTAGAACCAACATCCATAATCGGGTAACATAGCTTGCTGGTGCAACAGTTTATTCAGGATCTTCAATCATATCTGCCCCCCATCAGTAGTAAATATCTTCTTATATGTATAAAAGTAAAAACAACCACCCGAGTGACATTATAATTATATTCCATATAGTAATAATTGTGGGTTTCATCAGGATTATTAATTCCCATCATCGTAGTGGGTAACAACCCGATCTTCTGCATGCCCCAGCATAATTCTCTTGCCTTGTGATTCAAGATAATATAATATGTTTATCAACACAAAAAGAAATTCCAAAATGGATAATTCAAATCCATCAGTTTAAGGCTCGTTTCACGTCCCCAGATTACGGCCATGCAGAGATCTGCCACAATCCTCAGGATGATATTAACCAATACGTCGCCTCTTCTGTGTTTACACATAATCATTCATATTTTAAAGTCACTGGCTTCACTGTTGCCTGATTTAGAAATTTCTATTTTTATGCCACCTATTTCTTTTTTTCTTTTCTTTTTGTGGGTTTGGTTTCCATCCTGGTTTCCTTTCTACAAATTGTGTATCATCTGGTCGGTTTTTATTCTGCTTTGTAGATTGGTCTTGTTGGTTTTGTTTTTGTATCTCATGTTTCTTTTTTATCCCTTGTATATCCCCTAATTGGTTTCCATGCTTATCCTTGCCTTGATAAGTCATCACATTAAGGTTAGATGCCACTTCTCTCAAATTTGTAGATAGTCCAGCTGGGGTATCCAATAAATCCAAAGGCAATTCATCTGGTACAGTCTCTGTAATTCAATATTTTACCTTTATTTCCGGCTCCTTCTGCTTATCCTGTATTATACCTGAAGATGTTAAGTTCATTTTCAACCTATTTTGATAAAATTCTTCCGCTCTTTCAACAGTATTTAGCTGATATCTTTCTCCTTGGTATCTAAATATAATACCAACTGGGGCGTCCCACCTGAATGGGATATTTCTCTTTTTTAACTCATTCACCAGAAAACCAAATTTCTTCCTTTCCATCAATATCTTAGGTGGGAGTTCCTTGTAAATCCAAATCTTTCTTCCATACAATTGCAAATTAGAATTGAAGGAATTTTGCACGATATTATTCCTAATTTCTTTATCTGTAAAATAAATCACCACATCTCTAGGCAATTGCCTTTGCTTGGCAATCCAGGAGTTGATTCGATAAACTCTGTCGATCCTACAAAACACTTCGTCAGGTTGAACCTTTAGAATCCCAGCTAGAAATTCAGAAGATATTTTCCTTAAATCATCTCTATTATTTTCCTGCAAACCTCTTAATCTTATCACATATTCTGTGAAATTATATTGTACCATTAAAATCTCTTTTTCAATCTTCTGTTGCAGATTTTCTGCATTACCATACTTTTGATCAGCATCCATTTTAGGTTTTTCTTCTAAGCTATTATCCTGAGTGTTTGTCAAATCATTTTCAATTTTTTGAATTCTATTGTCCAATTTATCTTGAATTTCTTCCATTTTAGACTCTAGTACATTAGTATTTGTGTCCAACTGTATCATAAATTCTGTAAAACCATTAGCCACTTTTGAGAATTTTTTCTCCAAAAAATCAAACTTAGATTTCACCAATTCTTTAATTTCCTGCTTAAATTTTTCAAGTTGCTGATTCACAATCTCCTCCCTTCTTTCAATCTCCTCTATAAAAAATTCTATTATATTAAAATCAGGTTTCTGAGACTGAAGAGTTAAGACTTGTTCCTTTAAGTTGTTGGTAGGGGAATCCCCCCCCCCCTTCTTGTTTATCTGACTTTATGAGTCTCAGTGCCATGTTTCCGCCCAGGCAGGCTTTGTTAAAAAAAAAAGCAAGAAAGAAAACAAAAAAAGACTTCTTTCCAATCAACAACAATATCAAGTCTCCAAGGGAAAAAAAAGAGAAAAAGACACAGGAGCGAAGTTTTGTCTACAAATGTAGCCAGTGGTATTTATTCCGCTACATTGTAGTAATAGAAAACGGAAGGACTTTCCCTTTCAGCCTCTCCTCCAGCCGATGCCATTTTAAAAGGCTTTTTTTCCTCCTCTCTCTTAAGTAATTTTTAAAAAATCAGTAAAATACTTGCAGTTCAGTATTACAGGTCCAGCTCACATTTTCTTTGGGTAGTCTGTTAAATTTGCAGGCTTGCTTTTGACGCCTGGCTCTGCATCAGCAGAGGTCTCCCAAAGCCCGGAGCAGCGGCTGGGGATACGGGGCATCTCATCTGCTCCGTCCCAAAAGTAAAGGAAAAACTTTTGGGACTCCGCAGAGAGTTCTACCCACCCCTGCCGGCTCTATCTCCGTTTCCTCATGGAAACGGAGTTTTTTCGAGCCGCCATTCCGTTGTGAAGGCGGCTCTGACAGGCGATGGAAGCTGACGATCCCAAAGGAATGTCTGGCAGCGACAAACAGGAAACCGGAAGTCGCAGTTGTTATTTATCAAATTTGTAAAACTATGATTTTAGGAAAAACAAGATTCAATCTCTGGTTTTCCTTTTCTTTTTTCCCCCCCAAACTGGTAATTTTTAAAAACTGTAAACTGTAGTTAATACAATATAAAAAAACTGCTTCGAGGTCACTAGACTCCACAGAGAAAGTTCAGTAAAGATAGCTTATAAGCAATTGGGTATTGGAGATGCAGTTCGGGGAGCACATATGGTTTAGGCTTGCCTTATAATGCTTTACTTTGTACCATCTGTCTGCCACTGAACTAGTATTTTTTCCACAGAACTGTTGATGAAGAATTACAAGTAATATATGTCATCTACAGGTTCCCAAAATTTTTGTCCTTTTTCAATGTTGTAATACGTAGCTTTATAGTAAGATCATTTGTTAATAATTATATAACACTGAAAAATCAGTTTCACATTTCCATTTTTCTTGTATCATTGTTTAAAACAAAAAGTTATTTGAAGTCCAAAATACATTGAATACCTTTATTTTGAGGTTGATGTAAATTCTAAAAATGCCAGCTTCCATCAAATAATCAAGCAAATGCTCAAAGGCACAAAGGAGCAATACAGTTCATAAATCTATCATGATTAGGCAAACTTCAGAGCTTAAACCAGTTAATGAGACTTTGGGAAAAATATTAAAGAGTATCTTATTTACACTTCATAGATAACATTGTTGAACTATACCTTGTCTTATTCAGACACAGAGAAAAACCATTTATAAACTGTTCCATTTCAAGTATGTTGAAAAATGATATAGGTAGGGTTGAAGAGAACAAGCCTTCTTGAAACTCCTTGTATGGTAAGGAATATGCCACTTTAGTTTTTTAAAAAAGTCCAAAATACCGCATATGCCTTTATAAACACTGGTTCAAAAAAGTTGAATGCATTCCTTGTCATGAAACCAGCAATGCATAGTATAGCTAGCCTGAACTGTATCTGTCAACCGGGAGGATTTGAAACCTGCAAGGTCAAAAGTTACTTCTACCATATTCAGAAACTATCTAACACCTTTTTCCAACTCCAACATCAGAGCTAAGTGCTACAGAAATTCTCTATCCTTGAAAACAAAGATAGCTATCATAAACACCAAGCTCTATGGGAAAAATATGTATGGTTTCTGAAAGAGGAAATAAGGAATCAATCACATTTACTCTTCTTTAGGATTTCAAACACATGCTAGCAGAATTTCAGGAAAAGGTATTAAAATAAATTATAAACAAAAGAAAAAATATAAAATTATATTCCATATATTCAAATGCATGAAGATGAAGCAGGGTTACAGTTTCATAATACTTTCCAATTACTGTTATTTCAAAATCAGATCTCATGCAACTCTTTAATAAAAGTTAGACACTGATACTTTGCTTTTTTTCAATGTAATTTACTTTTCTTTCCCAATATTATAATAAAGTGTCAGCATTCTATTATGCAAATGAGAAGAATATGGCACAAAATTAGATGTAGTAGTTTTTTGCTGTTAATTTGAATCCAGTTTCAGTCTTGATTTTCTGCTCCTGTCAAACACTTCTGGAATATTCGTTGTGATCTAAATGGATAAAGATAAGAATTCTAGGAGGTCAGACTATACGAGTGAGTTCTATTTTTAAAAAACAAATTAAGTTTCAAAGTCTTATTAACTTCATCTGCATTGTTTTAATACAAAAATTACACAATAAAATGTACAAAAATCAATTATTCAATATATGTATTTCTTGAACATGCTTAACCTAAAATTACAGTGTGCAAGTTTGCATATTAGTATATTTTGAGCCAATGAGATATAAACTATAATTCTAAATTATATTTTATTTATTAAACATTTTTTCCAGGAAAAAATAAGTTTGTAGAGAAATTTTAAATATAAAAATATATTAATTCCCTTACCACCCTTTACTCAAGTTTGGTACTCTTAAAATACAAAAACTGCCTTATATATACTTGGGGTTACTTACACTTATTGTGCTTAGCATGTTAAATGTAAACATAAGATTCATTGGGACACTCGGGTTTACTAATTTACCCTAGTGGTCCATTTTAAATCTGTCAACACCAAAACTGTAAACTGCAACCGCAAACTTAAGATCCCTTAACCCTAGAAAACACTCAAGAGGCGAAAAACTGCCTCCCCAGGGCCAAAGATCTATATACGGCGTTCGGGATATACCGGGCGGCGGCGGCGGCGGCGGCGGCGGCGACTGCCCGCCTTTCTCCTTTTCCTCCCGTGGTATCTCCCTGAAACGCACTGACCGGGACACGAAATACCCAATAATCGTCCACACTCCCATCGCGTACAGCAGAGAGAACCGACGCGACCACAGGACGGCCCGCGGCGTCTTAAGGTCGCCACTCGTCATCTCTGCGTCCAACGGCCCTTTTAGCGGCCACAAGAAAGACGCCCTAAGGCAACACCGAGCGAGGCAGAGAACTTGCTCCCCGCTTCCGCTGCTTCCCAACCTCGTGGTTTGCTTTCTCCGCCACCTCGGATGTCATATCCTGTCTTGAAGCTTTCGGTAGCTTTCTCTTCCCCCGCTCCCCGCGGCTCAATTTCCCAGGTAGAACTGACCTTTCTGAAGATGCTCCGGTAAACCAGAGGTTCTCAATCTTGGCAACTTTAAGATGTCTGGATTTCAACTCCAAAATTCCCAGCCAGCACGGCTGCCAACCAGAACTGCGTAGCTTGAATGTCAGTGTTTTAACTGTTTCTCAAGATTGGCAAATTTAAAAACGTGTGGACTTCAACTCCCAGAATTCCCTGGCCAGCTGTTGCCAAGATTGAGAAACTGGTATAAACAATGGCTAAAAAACGCCCTTAGTTTTTGGCCATAATTGATTTGAATGAAAATCTCCAAATCTCTTTTGTGTTCAGCAGTATCAATGTTCTCATTTTGTTAACCTTTTTGCAGACAATCCCATCGTGCTTTTCATACAACCTGCTGGAGAAGTTTGCAGATTTTTCCATACATCAAGAAGACCATATACCAATGCAGAGCACACAATAAAAATACAAGTTTTATGTTTACAAGTTTTAAGTTTACAAGTACTCCAAAGTTTTTGAACCTTTAGTTAATCTAAATAACTATGCCTAGGACAGCTAATTCTGGAACCAACCTGTATTGTTCTTAACTATTGATAGTTGATTGTAAAAGGCAGAAGCTATCCACCACTTTGATATCTTTGGCTATCAATCCAGAACTACCTGTATTTGATTAGCAGTACCTTAAATTGCATCCAGGTCATTGCCAACCAGTACAAGTTGTGGAATGGTGTTCTCACATGGGCATGCCAAACCATGCAATTTTTTTTAAAAAAATATTAAATCTATATGCTACCTATTTTGCTATCCAAAGTGACTCTGGAAAGCTTACAATGCAATAGCAATAGCACTTAGACCAGTGTTGGTGAACCTTTTCAACACTTTAGACCAGTGTTGGTGAATCTTTTCGGCACAGTGCCAAAGTGGGAGCGTGCACGCATGCACGTGGGAACGCCAGAAACCGGAAGAGCAGTTTCCCCGGCGCACATGTATGCACCGGGAAGCTGAGCTTCTGGTTTCCGGCGGGCACATGCATGCCAGTCACCTGATTTTCTGATTTCTGGTGCACTTGCGTGCGTGAAGACCAGCTGGCCGGAAGCTCAGCTTCCTGGCGTACGCATGCATGCCAGGGAGCTGCTCTTCCAGTTTCCGACGCTCCCAAGTGCGCGAAGACCAGCTGGTCTTCGTGTGTGCATGCGTGCCAGAAACCAGGGGCCTGGTGGCTCAGCAGATTGATAGCATTGTGATTAACACCAGCTGTCTGCAATTACTGTAAGTTTGAATCTCACCAGGCTCAAGGTTAACTCAGCCTTCCATCCTTTCTAAGGTAGTTAAATTGAGGACCCGGTTTGTGGGGGCAATAAGCTGACTTTGTATAAATGTACAAAAGTATGAAGGCTATTGCTTAATGCATTGTAAGCCGCCCTGAGTCTCCGGAGAAGGGCGGCATATAAATCAAATTAAAAAAAAACAAAAACGGAAGAGCAATGGGCGACAGCTAGCATGCCCAGAGAGATGGTTCTCTGTGCCACTTCTGGCACGCGTGCCATAGATTCGCCATCACAGACCTAGACGTATATACTACCCCACAGTGCTTTACAGCAGTCTCTAGATCATTTACAATGAAAGCATATTGCCCTGAACAATCTGGGTCCTCATTTTAGGAACCTCGTAAGGATGGGAGGCTGAGTCAACCTTGAGCCAGTCAGGATCAAAACTCCTGACTGTGGGCAGAGTTTGCGTGCAATACTTCATTCTAACCACTGTGCCACCAGAGCTCAATTCATTTCTTGCTCCACTGGATTCTTGACCAACTGTACCTTCCAAAATCATCCTTAAGGGCAGTCTGTGTAAAGCACATTGCAATATTCCAGGTATCAGATGATATAATGAGCCATGGAGAAATATTTGGAAGCCATTACAAGGCCAAAAACTTAAAAGTTTGATATTGATCAAAAAACAAATGTTCTTGCTCTTTGCCAGGTAACAGCTGAAGTAAATACCGTATTTTTCAGAGTATAAGACACACTTCCCCCCCCCCCAAAGAGGCTGAGAATTTGGGTGCGTCTTATACTCAGAATGTAGCTTTTACAAAGCTTTTTTTCAGCCCTAACAAGGCGCTAGCGAATGAAGCGATCTTCTACGCTTTGCCTGCTGCCTCCGACTCAGCTGTGCTTTAGCTTTTTTTCAGCCTTAACAAGGCGCTAGCGAGTGAAGCGATCTCCGTGCTTTGCCTGTTTTTCTCATTGCTGTTCCCTCTCAGCTGTGCTTTAGAAGCTGTTTTTTTATTGCCAAGCAGGGGATAAAAAGCATGCGCGCGGGCTCAAAACCAGCAAACTAATGTGCTGAAGCTCAGACTAAGAACGCTAGCCACATAAATACCTGTAGGCAGATTTTTTTCCCCTATTTTCCTCCCCAAAAACTAAGCTGCGTCTTATACTCTGAAAAATATGGTAAATCAGCCTCTCAAGAAAATGCTTCTCTATCTAGTATGTATTTATTTATTTATTTGTATACCGCCCTTCTCCCGAAGGACCCACTCCTTTGTTATATAAAGAAGTGTTCCAAATATCTTCATCTCCTTAGAATTTTCTTTTGTCCATACTTTGTTTAGCCATTGCCACTGAAGGTAAGAGACATTAGCTGCTATGAAGAGATATATCACACAATGCTGTATTTGTTGGCATAAAGCTTAACAGCATGTTCAAAGAAAATATTAAATTGTAACAGCCAGGGTCACACATTAAGATGAAAAGAAGCAACCCTCATTACTGCTTACCATGATAAATGGTAATAATAATTAAAGTACCCAACTATTTTCAAAGTATATACACTAGTTTAAAGGTTATGTAAATATAAAAAAGGTAAAATTAACATTTAAGATCATCATCGTCGTTCAGCCATTCAGTTGTGTCTGACTCTCGGTCACTCAATGGATCAACACTCTCCATGCTCCTGTCTCTTAACTGCCTCCTTCAGATCTGCCATGGTCGTCCCAGTATCATCTTTTACAGTGTCCAGCCAGTGGGTATTAGGGTGGCCTTCTCATTTTTCCACTGATCACTCCTAGTATGATTGACTTTTCAAGTCAGCTCTCATGACAACCAAAGTATGACAGCCTCTGTTTGGCAATTTTGGCTTCAAGTGATATTTTTGGTGAGTCTAGGACTTCATTATTTTTGCAGTTAAGATACACAATAGTTGCCTCATAGTTCAAAGGCATCCACCCTTCTCTTATCTACCCTTTTTCAGAGTCCAAGTTTCACAGCCATAAGTAGCAATTGGAAAAGTTATTGCATTAACTAATCTGTATTTGTTGTGAGGCTGATGTTTTTACTTGTTCAGATGTTATTCATGCCAGACCTTGCAGTTGTTCCAAGTGCTATACGCCTTCTTACAGTGGCTGCCTGATCAGAGTACAATGAGTGAATGAGCTGGATGTGGTAGGTGGCATTCCCAGTTCTTTGAGGCAGTTCCAGAGCTTGTCATAGTTAACACAGTCAAAGAATTTTAGGTAGTCAATGAAGCACATGTCATGTAGAGGTGTTTTTGGTATTCCTTTGCTTTTTCCATCATCCAGCGTAGACTGGCAATATGATCCACGTTCCTCTTCCTTTCTGAAATCCTGCTTATACATCAGGCAGTTCTCTGTTGGCAGTTGGATTCAAACATTGCTGGATTATCTTCAAGAGAAATTTACTCACGGTGGTATCAAGGCTATGGTTCAGTTGCTGGAGCAGTCTTTCTTATCACCTTTCTTTAGTATTGGGATATTGATCTTTTCCATTTTTTTGGCCACTGATAATTCTAAACTAACATAATCAAAATGGAGTAGAAAAAGATTGAATTATCTAACAGAAGCTAGGGAGATGTTATAACCAATCAGCACCCAATACAGGTAGTCCTTGATTTACGACAATTGAGCCCAAAATTTATGTTGCTAAGTGAGTATTTGATAAGTGAGTTTTGCCACATTTCTTAAGTAAATCATTGCAGTTATTAAGTTAGTAACATGGTTGTTAAGTGAATTTGGCTTCTCCATTGACTTTGCTTGTCAGAAGGTCACAAAAGAGGATCACATGACCCCAGGACACTGCAACTGTTATAAATCTAAGCCAGTTGTCAAACTTCCAAATTTAAATAACCTGACCATGGAGATGCTGCAACGGTCATAAATGTGAAAAATGGTCATAAGTCACTGCTGTTCTAACTTCGAACGATCACTAAATGACCTGTTGTAAATCAAGGACTATCTATATATAGAATGATTGTATTCACTAACTAAATCTTGTCAGTTGTGTAACTTTTTTGCATTTTTCTCTTTTTCTCCTAGTTGAAGAATGTAGTATATCTATTAAGAATATTTTATTACAAAACAGAATCTTGTGTGACTGCTGTTAGATTATTTTGCATTTTATAGTACATGGATATTTTTGTAATAAAGAACTGTTCATAGTCTGACAATGCTAATTCATTGCATCTATCCAAGCCAGAAAATTAGGAATGGTAAACCTTCCACCCTGCCCCCAATAAGTGGTAGAGAACATAATACACTAAGAATTAACACTATTCTCAAATTTTATTTTGCTTAGTTGTAAGGGCAGAAAAATGAACTATGCAGGACAATATAAATGCAGATTTTAATCTTGGTATAAGAACATGAAAATGAAGAGTTTGTAGAATAAAGACAAGTATATCAATAAGTTAAATCTAAAATGTAAATTTCCCCTTTTTATATGGGTTAATTAAAACTCTTGATTTTAAAAAAAGAAAGGAATGTTATTAGTTTCTTGGTAGACTGTAATCTATCAGCAGCATGATTCAATAAGATTATTGTTTTTTGAGACTTTAGTATCAAAATTAGGATGCGCTTGATACAGCCAGCTTTTTTAGATGATCCATGAATACTTGTAGACTAACATCATCTGTTAGTATTGGAGCACCAGATTCCTGAAACAAGAAATTATAGTTTAGAAACAAAATCTGAGTGTGGGAAAAAATGTGGGAAAATTGGAAAAGTACAGCATAATTTGCATGATGTATAATCATGTTGACTCCTATTGTACTTTTTTTTATTTCCAAGTTTTAAAACTGACTTGAATGAGTGAGTGAGTGAGCGATGAATGAATGAATGCTCCAAGTCTAGTTTATGCAGTTTTGGCCCATAAACTATATAATTTATTATCTATCTTTCAAACACTGGAGGCTCAAGGGAATTTTCCAGTTAACCAAGCCCAACCCCCATAAATGGTAAAAATCAACTGACAAACTCCTGCTCCTTACATAATGCATGTCATAAATTGTGAGTACATGCACAATAGAAATAGAACCAAACACATCATTACTTACTTGTCCCCATGTGTACAGATTATTATGCGTCTGAGAAGGATTCACTTTAGATAGGAGAAACCGTGCCTGTCAAAGCCAAAATAAGCAGTGTAGATGCAATATAATTAAGATTGTCACATAAATTTGCCATTACTTGCATGTTTCCTTTTAATACAGCTCAGAATAAATTAAGTAGGATTATTTGGAAAGGAAAGAAAGTAGAAGAAAGAAAACAAGAAGCGAATCATATTCTGAAATAATGAATGCTTAAAGAACAGTTTCTGTTATAATCAGACAGAAACCATTATCAGTAGTTCCAGGTTAGATAACACTCCAAGTCGTCCTGAGCTTGTGACCATTCGTTCAGCAAACCCACAAAGTTATAATAGCTCCTGCTGCTTTTTGACCTATCTACTCACCCCTAAGGCATCCCTGCACACTGTAGTGCCTGTTCATGGCACTCCCTCATGGCACTTGCCCACCATAGCTTTCATCTGCAGATCTACTTGCATGAGATTCCCACTTTTTCCTACTTCTTAGTCACAAGACCCTCATTTAATGACCTACAGGCCTGAGGTTATGAAAGCAATTAAGACTGCTATGACTAAGCATTGAAATCATGTGAAACATGCTTTACAATTGCAATGGTTAGCAATGGAATTCCCAGTCCCAATTGCGATCATAATGTGAGGACTACCTGAATTCTGCCAGCAAACAATTGCCTCTCAGAACCAAAAAAGTAGCCAGGTTTTGATTTATTCAGAAAAGTGGTAGGAAAAAGCCTAGGATTTAAACTCTGGAGACCAATGTATTACACTTGACCATTATGTACTACAATAGACAGATACACTGTGTATATAACTATATTGCTTTTGATTGCAATAAAGAAATTAGTTACGTTATTCTTTGAGCCTTTTGCCCAGTAAGCCAGTTCCTGAATAATACATTCATTTCTGGAAAACTGGATTTTCAGCTAAGCCAGTATAAGGCCTAATATTAACACATCTTGCAAAAATATGGATTTTTCAATATGAACAGATGTTTAACCAAGGCTAAGAGACTGCTGGACAGTGGACATGCATTTCTAGGCTTGTAACCGTAGCCCAAGAACATTTTAATTCCTTCTGGTCCTTGTCAAGTAGGACATTGCCAAAGACAAGACAGGCCAAAGTCCTGAAGCAGCTCAATAATACTAGGAAGAAAAAAATCCCTCTTCTCTCAGGGAAAGATTGATGAAGCATTAGCAGTGGTTGAGCTATCTTAATAATCTTGCAAAATAAACTGGGCTAAGATAATGACTGGCCCAAAATTATCCTATGAGTTTCTTTAGTTGAGGATAGTTTAGAATCTAGCTGTCCCTGGTGGCAATTCATCACCTTAACCACTATGCCACCCTGATTCTCACCTGACATTATCTTCAGAGTCAACTTGTGCTGGATGAAGTGAAATCTCTCCAAAAGTTCAAGACTGATAGTGTGAAAACATTGGTATGATATATTACTAATATATTAAAACCAACATTAACTATAAATATAGCTATGGCACACCTTTTTTAATGCACTTAGAATTTTTTAAGTTTTCCTTACCTGGCTGCTTCCATGTTCTGTGTTAACATAGCGTGGCATTGGGAATCTTGTTTGTAAAATTTCTTCAGCATCATCCAGTGGAGCCTGCAGTAAATGCTTGAAGTTTTCATATTCTGGAATATCTTGATAACCAGCCTTACGCCACTGGGCAATAGTCTTGTGGAAAATAATGTGGAAGGAATTAATTAAGGAACTTTCATAAATATTTGTCTTTTTACTGCCTAATTCACATCATGTGCAAAATCCTTATATGATTTATTTCACATTTTAGAAAAAAATCAATGAAACCAAACACATAATGCCAAGCAACTGTTTGGTGAAAATATCTTGCCTGAGAATATTAAAAAAATAATTATGTAATTGTCACTTTTATTTAATCACCAACACTTTGTGCTAGTTTGGTTCTAAGCCAATTATGCTTTGTCTTATGCACCAAATGAAAGCAAAAAAAGGCCTTTGGAAGGAAAAGGAGCTTGTTATGATCCCAATCTACTTTTGGTTGCCATCAGTATTTGATACAATCCTCTCATCTCCACAGCAAGGCTAATTAAATCACTTTAACCACTCAGATGGGGGGAAATCTTTAACTTGTTCTGCTTCCTTTAAGAATTTGCCATTTCAGAAGTAAATCCTTTGAAAAAACAATTCAATATGTCATTCTGGACAAAATAAACCTGTTTGGGGCCAGAACTCTCACACAGTATCACATCAGGTCACTTCTGATTCAGAGTATTTATTTTCAGAGAGTACTGAAGTGTCCTAGGAAATACTTGGTTCTGACAGAAAAAGGAACTTTCTGGAACTCCTTGGAATTAATTAAATTTGCACATTTCTAGTGAGAGATGAGATCACAGAACCTCACATCATATTCAACATAATAGTTGAATTAGCATGATATGGAAATACAACTACTGTTAATAAATAATTTAACTTAAGTGTCATCATGAACCATTTCACTATTACATGTTTTTGCCAAATCATGGTAAAAATGATGGTTTAGTCACAGTAAAAAAAAAGTTATTCGATAAGGATATGCAAATCATTCCATGTATGAATCTTGGTGCTTCAGATCTATGTGGACACCCATAATGTACCTGTTAGGAGCTCTTTAATGAATATTAAATTAATATCCATTAAAGTGCTACAAATATTCAATTAATATTTGTTTGAGTACAAGAGGAAACAGGATATAATACATTTCTGCTCTCTGGTGGTTTCCAGATTTTTTGCAGCCCAGACCAGGTATCCTTCTCTTTCTAAAATGCACACTCATGATTGACTGAGGCTTGATATTTACTGCACTAGTTTCTTCTTTTGATTCCATAAAGACACTGTAAATGGAAACATTAATTTAGATCACGGGATAAATTGCTGATTAGTGATTTACACATACATAAAAAGCCATAAGACTTTGTCAGTGTGAATATGACAGCAGATTCTTTGCCTTAAGATCATAGTTTGTGTTGTTCTTTTAGTAAGCATATGGCTTGTATACTCTCAGTTCAGACAAGAGGTTTAAAAAAAACGCAGTGGACCTGAGATATGAGAGAGACTGCCTTGCTGTGCAAGACTCCTTTCCCTGATTATGGTCATCTGGAAAGGCTCATTTCTAATGGTAGTCAGAGGCTGGCTGACACTCAGGAATGAGTTTTTGCCATAATTGCAAAGCTTCTATGGAAAAAACTCACTAGTGCACTGACTTTTAAGGAGGCTTTAGAAACTCTGACAATCTACAAAACTTAATTGTTTATTTTACAAATTTTAATTTTTGCCAACAAAATTATTTAATTTTATTTTAGCACAAGATTTTATAATTTTATATAGTTTAGTTTCTGATATATTTTCTGTTTTGTGCATCACCTAGGGACTTCAGCTGGTCTAAAATATAAAATAGCTGGTCTAAAAACCAAATCAAAGAACCAAAAATTCTAACCAAAGAATTGCTTATTTACCTCACCAAGATAGATAACAATCTGGAAAAAAGTATCCATCAGCAGAATCCTATCAGCAAGAATGCTACTGCTATCCAATAGTACAGGCTAAAAGACACAAAAAGGGAAAGCGTAATTTTACAAATAAGAAGGTAAATATAACACAATTTTAACCAAACTTCATTTTTAATTGCAGAATTTGAAAAGATGCGCCCCTAATATTTCTATTTTTTTCTTCTTTGAAGACTGTAAATTTGAAAGATTTGTTCATTTATTTGTTCATATTTAAAAATGCTGCATTTTGAACATACATCAATTTTATCAAGTTTTTTTTATTACTATTTTCAGTCAACTTTCATCAAACATAGAAGGAGAATCACCTCAGGTGGTCCATAAAATGAATAAGAATAAAGTATAGGCTGAATCATAATAAGAGACTGGGTCAAATCCTGCCTGGCAAAGTGATGACGGTAATAGGAAGATTCATCTGGACTGTTATTGAATACTTGAAGGAATGGAGATCGTCGCAAATGGAACATGAACTAAATGGAACAGAAAAAAAACAGAAGTCACATTGAGTATAATATCTACTTTAATCATTTCCTGTCTCTTTGCCCGTCTGAATTATTTTGAGATACAAATACAAAAAAGGCATGTACCAACATAAAACATTTTACTATTTAATACAGTCTTCTGATAACCATAGAAATGACTTGGAGGCAAACAGCTACTTCTTTTCTTTTATTAAATTGTTTTATTTCTTTTAAAATTTTTGACATAGATCTTACCTGGGGGTACAAGGAGAATGAATCAGACAGCCTAAATGAATTTGGATCATCTTTGTTGTATTGTCCAAACTTCTGACACTGTTGGAGAAATATGCAGATCTCAATAATCCTTTGAAGATAATATAAATCTTACAAAGGAACAAGGAAGGAAAATAAAGACATCACCTGCAATATTTTTTTTCAAAAATATTGTTCATAATATCAAAGCAATAAAATTTGTCACTATCTCCTTTGTTTCTAATATGCCTAATAACCAAAATTATATTTTATAAAAGGATATTGTTTCAAAATTATTAAGAGCAAATTGCTTTTAAGGACATCAAATGCACAATATCATAAACAACATGATAAGACTGCAAAAGCCTAATGTAGACTTTGTCAAGCATTTGATGGTATCTGGTAAATTTATATGTAATTAATTGGGATTAAATTTAGTGGCCAGCTTTGAACAATCATATTTTGGCTTAAAACAGGCTCAGGATTTAACAATACACTGATTTATAATTTTGCGTCATCTTGCCCCTGTGTAGCTCAACAACTCCATGAACTCTGGGAGAGATCTTTGTAGTGAGGGCATGGTTAGTAGCCTGTTAGCATTTAATTCCATAATTCCTTGCCATCTAATTTTATGGAAGCAATCAGCATCCCTGAACACTAAGACAGATGTGCTGTTGATAAAAAAAAAACCCACTTAATTTGAAGATTGTAGTATTACATAATGCTCAAGTGCCACTGGCTTCCTAGGTAACTGCTATGGCAAGTATCATATTTGGGCAATTATGTTTAGCATCCAAGCTGTAACTATTCTTAAGCCAGTCAGATTTGACAACTTTTAATTCAGGCTTTGATTACATCTTGATCTGATTACTGCAACATGGTTTTGTGAAAGTGCCCAGAAATTTCAGTTGCTACAGCTAGGCTCCTACTTAGAGCTTGTTACTGGTCTTGCATGATGCTTATAATCAGTTTAATTATCTGAGTATCTCATTATCTTACTTATTTATGTACTTATTTATTTATTATTTTTACAAACAAATACTCCTTCCTCCTGGTCTGCTTCTACGCTTGCTTTCTATCCTAGTGCCTTAACCACTAGACCAGGCCTGTCAAACTGGCGGGCTGGATACGTCATGCACAGGCTGCTCCCACCCCAGCTCTGCAAAGGCAAAAAACATCGCAATACGTCATGATCCGGCCTGTGATGCCGATGCACTAGACCAAACTGGACACCAAGATATATATATGAGAGGCCATTCTGAAGATGACCTTGTTTTCAGAGTTATCTTTCTTAGGCAAAAGGACAAAGGGCCCCTCCAGGATCATTTCTAGGCTAACAAAGGTACTTTCTTAAGAGCAGCATCTGGCTCCCATTCCCTGTGCTTTTAGAAGAACAGCCAAAATCTTTTTCACCAAGTTTTTAATTTTTAGTTTTAGTTTTAATTAATATTTTGAATTTTAGCCATTGATAGTCAAGTTGAATATCCATATACTATTAAACTTTCATTGTCATGACCTTTAATTGGACAAAACAGTACATAATATGGCAACAATTTTCAACCAAGGTACCTCAAATGATCTAACTTACAAAACATGTCCAAAATCAGAGACCCATGACTCCCAAGGGAATGAAATTTGAGAAAGTTGTGACAGTTTCCCAGCCCATCTTGCATCCCTTGCTCCCTCCCTCATCCAGCAGCAGCCATTTGCTTGCCTGCTAAGAAGGAAAGATTCTGAAGGCTCATTCCCAAATTCCCACAATACTCAAAAGGGAAGCCAGCAGGAAATAGGAAGTTGCTCCTGCTCCTAATGCTCCCACCACCCGCCTTTGGCCATTCTGTTTCCCTGTTTAGATAAGAAAATATATCTGAAACAATGACCTAACGGGGCATGGGTTGTCTAGTCCATGTCAGTAGTACAATGTGGCCACATAAAATGAATAGTGTCCAAGCTTATTCCTTTCTGAACTAGCTAATTGTCACAAAATGAATTTATATATATTGAACCAATTATTTTCTGAAAAGCAAATTGAAAAAATACTAATCAGCATTTACACTTGGAATTTTCAAGACAAGGATCAAAGCTTTTGGAATGCAGGGTGGTGAGGGGAGTATGTCTGATCAAGCAATCTTCTTTTTGATTCTAAAATTCATAAGCTTACAATTGATCATACTCACAAGTCTAATTAGTTGCCTATCCAGCCATCGCAAGACATCAGGCCCTTCCTCTGATTCAGCTCTGTAGACACCCAATCGAGCCATCAGGACAGCAGCTGCTTCTTGGTCAAATGCAGCTTCAATGTGCTGCAACTGACTCTGTGCATCTGCCCAACTAATTTATGGCAAGAATTAGTAAAATTTAGATTATTAAATGCCATAAAGAACATTCTACCAATAATTTACAGAAGCTTATGTTTGTTCTAAAACATTTTTATATCAGCCACAAAAATGAACTGATGGTCCATCTCAGTTTCATAAGCTATTTTATTTCGGGTTTATACAATACACCAGGGCAGTGTCCCTTAATTACAATTTCTAATCACAGATTGGTTTTGATTAGTTTATTTTAAACCATGGTTGAGCATATCATCCAAATCCAAATCTCTGGTTAGCTGACTATCAGCAACCATCACTTGATAGGCATATTTCTTTTTATTTATTTATTTATTTATTTATTTCTCAATTTATATACCGCCCTTCTCCCTAAGGACTCAGGGCGGTGCACAGCCAGAATTAAGAACATAAACTACAAATATTAAGAACAATTAATATATATATAAATATTTTATCTCCCATAAAGGACAGATTAGTCAAAATCATGAAGGGGGGGGGAACACGGTTGACCTTCACCTCAAATGTAAGGGTTCTGATTCCCCATAGGATTGCTGTATTTTTCTTCCTTCATTTTTTTAATATTTACAAGGTGGCACACAGAGCCATATCTGTGGGCACGTGAGCGTTGCCCTAGCTCAGTTAATTTTCAGGCCTCCCGGGCTCACCGGAAGTCAGGAAACGGGCTATTTCTGGCCTCCAGAGGGCCTCAATGGGGGTGGGGAAGGCCATTTTCACCCTCCCTAGGCTCCAAGAAAGCCTCTGGAGCCTGGGAAGGGCAAAAAATGGGCCTACCGGGCCCACCGATAACCTTTTTGCTGTCGTGTGCCAAAAGCGGGGGGCAGTGGGGGGGTCGCACGCACATGCGCAGGGTGAGAGGGGCACTGAATTATGGGTGTGGGCACACACAAGCGCGACCCCCCCCGTTCCCCCCTGCTTTTGGCATGCGACAGCAAAAAGGTTAGCCATCACTGCTACAGAAGGTTACCACAAAGGCTAGCTTGATAATAAGAGAAACCAGGTGAGATCTATTATCTGTGGGACAATCAGCAGCTCATCCCCCAGTCACAATGCTAAGTATGCTATTAATGTGGCTCAAACAATACAATTGACGCAACAAAGAAATGCAGCCAACAGAACCAAACCTAATTATCATAAATTATTCTCACTTTCTAGCAACAGTAGTCACACGAATGCGCCTCTGTGTACTGGAATGCTGATAATGCGTAACAAACTGGATAGCTCCTCTTCCACCCTGAGGTATTGGAGTGCTGTGCTGAAAGTTAATGAGATAAAAGTTGTCTAAAATACACCTTACATTTTAAAGACAGGTTGACATCATATAGGAGAAAAATGAAGTACAAGAGTATAATATACTCATTTACAACTAACACACTGGCTTCTTGGAGGAGCAGAGAATATGAATACTAAGATATAGTTCCAAGAGTTATTAGAACTAGACTGGAAGTGCAATAAACAATTTTTGCCTTCAAATAAGGTTCAAATAACATAAAGCAGTTTTCTTTTTACTCTTAGTAAATGGGCCTAGAGTTGTCATTGAATAAGATCTGAGTTCCTGAAAAGACCATCCAGAATTTTAAATTATTCTTAGAGCGGGGAGGGGATAGGAGAACAAGAATGTGAGCATGCTTTTTTAGATAGGTTTGAGTCTTCTTTAAGATGACAAATTGATCTTACTGCAGCTTTTCCTTCCCAGCATTAGCTGCTCTTAATTCTAATAAAATCTTCATTAATCTCAAGTAGAGGATTTAGAACCTAGTTCTTCAAACAGATAATGCTAGTATTTCCTACTTGTATTTTAGCTCAGTAATACCTCTTCTTGGTCCATACCCAGATTCTTTTAAAAATATTTTATATGTTTCATACAAAAGACTTCTCTGACTTATCTAAACATCTGATCCTTAATGGCATCAAAATTTCAGTAGTAAGGCTGAGGGAATAACAGCATTTTTCTGCGCATGCTGTCTCCTTGGCCTCCTCATCAATGGAGTCTGCACTGTATACAACATTACAAAGATTTTTTTAAAATCTAGGCTCACCTGATTTACTACTTCAAAATAAATGGCAAGAGTCATGGAGGGGTCAAGTCCACAAATTTTCCATTGGTATGTGCCACCTATTCCAAGCTCCTGTGAGACAATTCAAAATTCAGGTTTTATTCTAAAATCTTAAGTCATATGTCATGTCATGTCATGCCACAGGTAGGTAGGTAGGTAGGTAGATATACACAGACAAACATAGATACACACACACTATAGCTTCTACATATTATTTAGACTTTACAGCACAAATTACCAATTTATATCCTTCATAATTCCCATATATAAACTGCACATTCAGAGGTACAATTCTCTAAATATTTTAAAGTATCAGTTAGAAATATGTAATGTGAGTCAATCACCAATCCCCATAGAAGGAATCTGGAATTGAAAACTGCACTCTTTATTTTGTAATACATTAAAATTCACATTTAAAATGGACAAAGGCAGTGGAAAGAAAAAAAGAAAAAAACCCACAGGATATAAGTGTTTAATAAATGTAAACCTATAAAAAGAAAACTAAGTACAGGTAGTCAATTTACAACAGTTCGTTTAGGCACCATTCCAAGTTATAACACCACTGAAAAAAAGCGATTTATGACAATTTTTCACACATATGACTATTGCAGCATCTCCATGGTGAAAATTCAGATGCCTGGCAACTGACTCATATATATATGACGCTTGCAGTGTCCCAGGGTCATGTGATCATATTTTGTGACCTTCTGACCAGCAAAGTCAATGGGGAAGCCAGATTCACTTAACAACCATGTTACTAACTTAACAACTGCAATGATTCATTTAACTGTGGAAAGAAAGATAGTAAAATGGAGCAAAACTCACTTAATAACTGTCTTTCTTACCAATGGAAATTTTGGGCTTAATTGTGGTCATAAATTGAGGACAATCTGTACATTAAACTACAAATAAGAAAGACCTGTTTATGCTAATGGAGCTTAGGAGCCCATTTTCACTGGAGGAGCGCTGGGGCCACCACAGGCACCCCCAACACAAGTGAGATCGAGCTGGCCATGCCCACCCTGGCAATGCCCCCTGGCCCCTGAGGTCAAACACAACCCTGATGCAGCCCTCAATGAAATAAGAGTTTGACACCCCTGACCTATTATAAGTCAAGAACTACCCATCACCAAGAAAACTTACATTTTCAGAAACACTTGGCCCTTTGGCATTTAAGGATACACATGGTCCAATAGCTCCAGCTATCTTCAGTTCTCTACAAGTCTATAATAAAAAAGTTCCAAATTAAATTTCAAGCAATAATAACTGCCTAACTGATCTCTTGATGATACCTCAGCATGACAAACCTTTCCTTCCTTCATTTAGAACTGTGAGTTTCAAATAACGTAGAGATTATAAAATATTGGGATAATTCAACAATATTGTTAGCTTCCTACTGCTGCACAGAAACTATCCTTTTCCATCATGAGAGAGTAAGTAAAGGATGGAAAATCTCTCTGAAATCAAAAGCTACAGTAAGCAATGTAAATTACCAATTCTTTTGGTTAGGAAAATATTCAATTAATCAGCAGTACCTGTGATACTTACTTTCACTTCTAGAGTTGCTCCAAAAGCCATTCGGAATTCTCCACTGACATTTTTGCTAAACAATCTCTGGAAAGTTTGCTTGAAGAGAGAAGTATTAAAAGAATCTCCCATCACCATATAACCACTGAGGAAAAAAAGTCAGTGAAATATTGAGAATAATTGGGGTTTTTTTTGTTTTGTTTTGTTTTTTAATTTGATTTATATGCCGCCCTTCTCCAGAGACTCAGGGCGGCTTACAATGCGTTAAGCCGCATTCATGAAGTATAGACCATAACACTGTTTCCTTGGTTTTTCTTATTGCATTAGGTGAATCTAGCCATCAGTTTGTAAAGCACGGTTTATGTCTAGAATTTTGTGAGAACCAAACCAATTTTAGCTTGTTAAACTAACAATACCTCAGAAGGGAAATGTAATAGTATATGAACATGACCTTGGGAGACGAGGTGAAGAAATCCTGCCTAGGAACCATAGCCCACAGCTCCATAGTGAGTGGAGGAAAAGACTCAGGAGGGACCTTCCCTAAGGCTGTAAAGGCAGGAAAATTGTTCTTTCACTTTTGCAAGATTCTGTTAATGTAGCTTTACAATAAACTAGAATTAGCTTATCTGGCATTGATTCCTGTATGGTCTATTTGATAACACTGACAGGAAGGTCGCAAATTGCAATCATGGTAAACTCAAGCAGATTGTTGAGATCTCAGATTGTAATTGTGTGATTGCAGGGACATTGCAGCAACCATAACTTTGAGGACTGATTATAACTTCCACTCATTTAGTGCCATCCCAAGTTTCAACAGTTGCTGAAAGAGTAGTCATTAGATGATCTGTAATGCAGCATTATTAACTGAAATACAATATGTCTATCTTGATGACTGAAGTAGAGCAGGAGAGAAAGACCATATGTTGCAAAGATTCTAGAACAGTTTCGTCTTCTCTCCTCCTATTAATTAAGGACAGACAAACCAATGTTAAGAATTAGGAACACTTTTACTTTTTTATAACCATTTCCTCCCATCCCCTTCATTTTCCTAGAAACATTAAAGAAAATAAAAGAAAACCACGAATAATGCCTTCTTATGGGAGTTTAAATCTAATATAAAAGTTTCTCAGGAAAGTAAGTCTTTAGTTCTTTTTTTGCTTCCAGTGAAACTCAAGTCTGTCCACATAGGCTTTTTAAAAATTCAATTTCCAATAGGCATGTTTGGAGCAATTCATGTTGAATTGAATAAGATCTATTCACAAGTAAGCATTAATGGATTGCATCAGTTATCTTACAATATGATGCTCTTGCATAATAAATGCAGATACCTGACTTATAACCATTTGTTCAGCAACTGTTGGAAGTTACAGTGACATTGAACAAAATGACTTGTGACTGTTCCCTGAATTTATGGCTGTTGCAGTGCCCCCACAGTCACGTAATCAAAATTCAGTCATTTGGCAGCCACCTACACTTATGACCACAGGGGCACTTCAACTCCCTCCACCTGCCTATCTCCCTCCATATCTATGCCCTTTGGCCCCCTGCACTCTGTGGCCTCTGCTGCCTTAAGCTATCTTGCTCCCTCTGCTGACCGAGCATGCCTGGCCTGGTTCTTAGCAGAGTAACTGAGAGTGAGTGGATGGTCATATAAATTATCTAAATAAATAAATAAATGCAGCTGCATAACACTTCTTAAAGTCGCACATGGCAATTTCCTTGCAAGGCTTCAAGAAGATGCCTTACATGACCAGCAGCTACCTTGCAGACATGACTTGTCAGCAGCAGGAGCAAGTAGATAGCGAAGGTCAGCTGGGGTGGTAGAATTCAGGTTGTCAGAGGCCTCAGAGTGCAGGGAGGCTGGACTGGGCTAGGGCAACTGGAGTACTGCACTGTACTGCTGGGCTGGGCTGAGCCAGCTGAAGCTTCAAGGAATGGCTGCAGCTTCATGCTGCGCTGTGCCTCAGGGGCTTTTTGCAGCCCCAGAGCTGCAGTGCACCAAGAAGCCCTGAGCTGCAGTTGGTAAGCAGCCACAGAGTCACACTAAGGCTGCATTCTACACCACAAGGCAGGGTGGCCAAAAGGGCAGATGTGGAAGGGGAATAGGTAATTGGGAGAAGTTGAAGGAGAGGCAGTCCCTTACTGTGGAAGAACTGAGCCTTCGGCCCAGGAGGGACCAAGCCCAGAATGGCTTTGATTGGGGTGGGTCATTAACGACCAGCGGAATTTAGTCGTTAACAATGGCAATGAGGAATGCCAGGATTACTGTTGCTAAGCAATGTAGTCATGAGACATTGTACTTTATGATCACATCATATAGTGACAGAAATTCGAGGCCCAATTACCGTTATAACATGACTATCCAAATATGCATATGGCTTCTAAATTACCTAAAAGATAAATGCAGTGATTTCAAATCACCATTTCTTCTCAATGTACACATACATGAACACACACACACACGACTTTTACTAAACATTTTCTCCTCAGGGTGATAGAAACAGTTTAGAAGATCTGTGCTAATCAAGAAATGTATCTCTTCTTTGTAACAAACAACATTTTTACTCAGGATTAAGAACATACCCAGTTATATTTGTACAACACTTTATCTCCAGAAGACCAGTCTGATCAAGAGCACATGCATAAATATCAATGCAGTGTCCATTAGTAGCAGCACGATTAGACAATGCCTCATAATGCTGTGGAAATATAACAGTTTTAACTTATTTTAAATGACAGTTATGAGAAAAGATTATTCATAGTTGTTTAGCATGATCTAAAGGCACATAATTCAATAATGTTGCTGACTTTTGATCTAAAATGGTAAGGGCCTGCATGTTCTATATACAAAGCTATGCACTCTGTGGAAGGGAGGTACAATTGTTCAATAAACATTAACAATAATTGGCTACTGAGAGCTTTCCAAACCGTTTTTCCTATAACAAAAATATCTTGAAGAAGAGAGCTGATACAACTGAGAAACCACAAAGGCTCATTTAAATACAAGAAATGCAGTGTTACATAACGTGTCTGAACAGAGGTTTATGTTAAAATTCAAAGTGAGAACAGTGTATGTCCAAAAAACTTAAATCAGGAAATAGTAGCATGAAAGGGGTTCAAAAGATCAAGGAAATAAAGGAATGGATTCTTAATAAACAAAGTTGGACAGATGTAGGCAAAGATCCAAAACAAAGAAAGTCAACTAGAAATTAATATTAAAGATAAACTGGATTAAATAATGGCACTCAGAATATAAAAATTTGTAATTGTAGAAATATTGAACAAACAAGGCAGCTAAAGACAAAGTGAAAAAGCAATCAAGAATGCAAAGTTTCTGAAATTATTTGGCAGTAAAAGGTAAGTTCAGCAGAAAGTATGAAAGATAATGTTTATCTGATAGAATTCAAACTAGACACTAATTCTTACTTTCATAGCTTTCTTCATGAATCGTGCATTGTCTTTCTCTATATCATGCCACGACCGAATCGGAGTTTTCAGCTCATCTCCTACCACCATGCCTGGCCCTTGAGTTGGTGGCCCTCCAGTAAACAACATTATTCTAGCCCCAGTATTTGGAAATGATCCCTTGGAAGTGGGAGAAAAACAGAATAAAAAACAACGAATTACATAAATTACTAAATTAGTTGTCAAGAATATAGTTGACTATATCTGCGAATTAGGTCAATCATAGGTTGCATTCTTTTAAAGACTGATTTCCTAGAGTATCTGCCTGGCCAATCATCTATCAGGACTCCAGAAGTGCACCCTTCTCTGTTGCAGTGGCTGGAATGTTCCCCCAAGATTCGAATAGCTCTAACCCTACTAGTGTTTTAAAGGATTCTGAAGACCTCGCTATTCATCCAGGCTTTTGGACAAGGGTGACAGTAGTCCCCATTAGATTATGTGGGTTGTTTTCTTTTGTTCCCATCTCATTTTTTCATTCTTGCCATCTTTATTCTTCATTTTTGTTGCTTTTCTTGTCTTTAATGTTTTAAGCAATTGAGAGCAGCGTGGTGGCCTAGTGATGAAGATGCTTGCCTCCCACTCAGAAATTTAAGAGTTCAATTATAGGTAGTGGCACAAAGAGTTCAATTCTCCCAGGGCACAAATAAAAAATATCTGCTGTGAATTTTGCATGGTGTCAGGAAGGCCATCTGGCCACTAATTACTCAGCTCTGTCCAGTCACCCTGACTCTATTCTGAATTAAGGGATTACAGGGTTGTAAAGTGACATTTTTAAAAATGTTTTAAGCAATTTGAAAATATTGAGAATTATTGCAGTCAGGTGGTATATACATTTAGTATTATACTTATTATACTATACAGAAAGATAAGACAGAAATTATGCAAAAAAGAAAATATACATAAACCAAAGGGAAAATATACTTTTAAAAAAGATAAGTAAATTTTAGCCGTCTTCTTTCAGTATTTCAAATGGTTTAAAAAATTGATTTGTAACAAGCTGATCTAAAGTATTAATACCCCTATTAGTCCATAAATTCCCTATATAAAGTATATCTGTTATTTTCAAACTGGTTTTATCCAAAAATGCATTTCTTCATTTGAATACATGTGAATTCATCAGAATCATACTAACATCCCAGTTCTGCCTACTAGCCATCAAAAAATTACCAATACTATAGAACTATGATTAGAAAAGAAAAAAGCCCATTATCATGATACTGAACTTTCTAATTGTGCCCATATTTTTTGATTGCTTGGATTCCATAGAGAAACAAAATCAAACTTTATGCCTAGTCTCCCTAATCAAAATATGATATATGAAAAGATCTAAAAAAAACACCTATGGATTTGTCCTCCCCATAAAAATAGTCTTCACAATTTTTTAGAAATGTGTTGATGGCATAAACATGGAAATCCGATGACCTATGTCTACATATAAGAAGCATGACTTTAAGAACAAGAAAAAAAACTGCTTATGGTCAATCATCAACACTTTTCAACATTCAGCACAACTGAATTTTTAAACAAAGGTTACAAGACATTGGATGATATTTAATATAAATTTATATCTGTTATGTGGTAACTACCCAAGATAGCTTACATTGTCAGTCAGTGTCTGATTCTGAATACCCATTCACACAGAGGTAGGACCCCAAAAAGCACAGAAGAATTTCAACCCTTCCTTTTCATAGCTGGAAAAAGGCACTGTTCTGTTAAAACGACAGCAAAACTCTTGAAGGAAATAAACAAATTGCTGGGCTGAGGTGAAAATAAGTGGAATTAAACACTCCTCACAGCCTCAGAATTAGCTAGTTGGAATTTCCAGGGAAAAGGGAAATCGTCAGACTCATTTGTGCCACATCCAAAAACATGTATATTGGAAAATATATGGCTTTCAAGTACCAGACAATACTAGTAGAGTTTAGATTACTTCTAAAGGTATTTAAGATTGTAATAAATGAATGAATGAATGAATGAAGAAAGAAAGAAAGAAAGAAAGAAAGAAAGAAAGAAAGAAAGAAAGAAAGAGATACCTCTAGTAGTCCAACAGCAACTGACAAAGCTACTCCAGTGGATCGCAAGGGTCTCTTTCCTTGAGTAACTGGCCAAGGATCTCTTTGTAGTTCTCCTAGAAGATCTGTCATGTTCATGTCAATTTTGTGAACAGGCTGCAAAAATCTAGGTTTTTTTTATCAAGAGAGAAAAAAGGAGAGACAGAAAGATATATAATATTGTGAATTATGCACTGGGTACTTGTTTATTTGGAAAATGTTTAATCATAGATTCAAAATGTATCAATCAAACCTCTGTAGTTTTATTCACCTATTACCAGCTTTATATTTTCTCTTACATAGATGGCATAGCCTTTGATCTTAAATCTAAAAAGAAAGGCAGCTATTTCAAATAGTAAAAATAGGCCTGAAATATTCTTTGTTCTGCAGAGCTACATACCTGTTAGAAAGGTGAGGTGATTCTTGGGATTGAGGTGGTCTCCCTTGCTGAGTAGGGACAGCAGGCCTTGAAAGACCCAACATATCCTGACAATGAAAAACATCCATTATAAAATCAGAAAAACTTATAAAAAACATGAAATAAGAACTAGGAAATCCTTACAACTTTTCACAGAAGACAATGCAAAATATACCTGTATTTGTTTCGCTGATAGATCTTTAGTTCCTCTAAAAACGTAACTTTTGGAGATTCCTTCACAGCTCAATTCATGAACTTGAACCATTCGACCGAAGGTAATCAAGCCCACAAGAGCATCAGGAGGGAGCAGACTTAAAGACATTTGCAAAGATTCTTTCAAAGCTTGTAAGTCCTCCTCTTCCAAACATGTGTCTACCACATAAAGAAAGACCAGGGGTGTCTGAGGGCCACGCTTGATTGGGGAAAAAAGGAATACATATCACACAAATGTACATACAGTGAAAGACTCTAATTTCCCTTACTATAAGCCATGGTAAAAACACTTTATTCTTATAACCTGTTGTAGAAATGTTGAATATAGTTATGGAATTTGAGAGATAACAAAAAGGACTACCTGGACTATATATTCTATTGTAGAAAACTGGGGCATAAGTTCTGCTGGCTGATTCACTTCAGATATGCCGGCATATGCTGGAGGAAACTGAAAAAATACACCAAGAATTAGAGCATGTGCTGAAAAATACCCATTCTTAATAAAATGCAATGTCAGGATTTTTTTCTTTCAATTAAACATATGAATCTTAATTCCATTTTATAATGGTTTCTGGCTTCTTAACATTTTGGTTGTAAACAAATGTAGGCATGATTTACAATTTTTTCCAAAATCATATCCCAGGCCTGCTCACCAATTTAACTATTATCTGAGTACACTGGTCTACAAATTTGGGGAAATTATCGACCTCCGAGATAAAATGTGCTAATTTTACATATTTTGATTAGATAAATTCGAAAATAGGTGATAAAGGTGCCAGTTGGCTAAAGTTTTCAAGATATTTCACAATAAAGATTTATACACAGGTGAGTATATTTGCCTACAAGGAAGGGAGGCATCTAATGATCATGATGCCTCGTAACTTCTCAACAAAGTATGGTAGAACAATGAAAATGGTACCAAAAGGAAGTGTATAAATTTATCTTCACTTTGAGAACAGCAAGGCAGATGAGTATGAAAAACACATGGAAAATTTGCTTAGGTCCTATAAAGCACTTGATGCAAACATGTCACTGAAAATTCACTACTCGCATTTAGACCATTTCCCTTTGAACTGTGGTGCAACGTGTGTTGAACATAGGGAGAGATTCCACCAGAATATCGCAGGCATGGAGAAAAGATACCAACGGAAATGGAGTCTGTCCATGCTTGCCGATTACTGCTGGAATCTTCCCAGGGTTGATCCTACTGCAGTTCACAAGACAAAAGCCAAAAAGCGCAGTTTAGACACCAAATAAAGATGGAACCTTGTCATTTAATCTGATGTTAGAGCTTGTCATTTTTTTCATGCAAAAGGCATGAAAATGTTACATGAAAACCAATAAATGAATGGAAAGTTATGTTATTGGTATCAATAAAAAGATAAATTTATAATGATTGATGTGGCACCATTTTCATTGCTATATCACATTTTGCAGAAAAGTTATGGAGCATAATTGCACAGCCCCTTGTAATTTTGAATTATTTTGATGCAATTTTGACCTAAGCTGTTATCTTGGAAACTGGAGCCAATTAATTTTTCTTTATTAGTGACCCAATTTCTGGTAAAATTTAGCTATTTTACTTTCTGAGGCTTTCTCCTTGTAGACCAGTGGTATCACTTTTGCATTCAATACAAAGCCATGGGTAAGAAAAATCATTTAAGATTTGTTGTGATGTTTGGATAAGAATGGTGTGCAAATCAATGGCAAATCAAAATCAGAAATCATCTATTTTCATATCTCATGTTATGATTTATTTAACAAGTACATCTTATTAAAGTCATACATCACATCAAGCTATCTTTTACAAACTATAATGGCTGTGTTTATAATACACGCAATGTGAAAATAAAAAAATAAGCATGAACCCAAGCAAGTGCTATGGCTTAATATGATGTGGTAATTGAGAAACCATAATTACAGGTATTGTGTTTCATCTAGAGATTAATAAAACAGGATTTCATGCTGCCTATTCTACACAATCTCTAGCATGATTTCTAAATTATGATTAGCACGAGCCATATTTTAACATGAACTAATTGAGATTAAACTGGGCCATAAAGTAACCCAAAAACATTGTAAAAATCCAAGTGAGCTCTTTGCTTAGAAGGCTTTGGCAATAATATTAATTAAATGGTACAAATAAAAAATAAAGAGTGATATGACAAACAATCATGGTATATAGTTGACCTGGGGGGTACAGTAGAAAGCCAATGGCATCATTTTAGCACCAACAAGATTTTTTTAAAAAATGTATTACAGGAATGTTGGAACATAACAGTTTTACACTTACCTGGTTCCTCTGAAAGCAGAAGTTACAAGCCCAAAGTTTGGCTCTGTAATCAATTTGACTATAAAAAAGGAATATATAAAAATAGCTGAAATCAAATTTTGAATTTTTAAACATTTAATAAAAATTACTGCATTCTGTTTCATTCACAAGCACTTGACACTGGGGTAATGATTAAGGTAAATGTATAACGCAAATAGGACCCCTACAAATTAACAGCAAATTGACTTGGGGACAACTCTCACCCTGGTCACCACTTCTTTACCCTCCTACCATCAGGAAGGAGATATAGAAGCATAGTCAGCCGCATAAACAGGCTGAAGAACAGTTTTTATCCATGTGCTGTTAGATTCCTGAATGCGAAATAACATCATAATTACGTAGTATGATGGACATGCAGGGCCAGTGCAACATGTAATATGTTCAATAGGACTGGGTGTTTTATTAATATGATTTATTGGGTTAGGGATTTTCTATCTTCACTGTGAGTTGTATTGTGTTGGGGGGGGTGCCCTGAGGGAGCTCAACCAATCTCATTGTACATATGTTGTGCACTGACAATAAAGATTTGAAACATTTGAGACTTCTGGCTGATGTCACAGTGAGATCGGACAGAGAGAGTGGGTCTCTGTATTCCAGTGCTGAGTTCTCCCCATTGGTGGGATCAGAAAGCAGCCAAAGCCACCTTGGAGGGGCGGTGAAGCAAAGAGGGACGACCTGGGAGGTCTCAGAGAGTCGCAGCTCTCCTGCCTGACCCGGGGCTTACTTTTCCTCTCAGCCATGATGAGGAGAAGAGACAACCTAAGATGGCTGCCACGAAGTTGGGACAGCCGACGACCATCTAAGCTTTGAGCTGGAGCGGACTTTGATGAACAGTGTGGAACTGGGTGAGAGCATTTTTTTTTAGCGAAAGTTAACCCCGAAAGAGAAATCTAGGATTTACTCAGAACTCTGTTAAAGCGGCCATCAAATACTTTTGAGAAAACTACCAGACTATAAGGAAAGAATTAAAGAGAGAAAGAAATTTTTTTCTTTAAAAACACAGGAAATTGGACTCTCAAATGGGAAGACGTGTCATTGGGAAAGCAATTTAAAATGCTGGAATTACGGATTTAAAAAATTAACACTGTTTCTATAATTGAATTACAATTTAAAATAATTAAAACCAGATTTCTAGTAACAATATTGAAAATTAACCTGAGAGTGCCACCTGCTGATGAAAGGAAAATATATAAGCCTGGGAATACCCATTTAAAGGACTGTGACAATATTTACTGGACTATATACATCTATCCTATGACCACTGGCGATTTAAATGTGAGAACAAATGTGTAAAGACATTTAATTAAAGGGACTCCTGAATGTTAAGTTACATGACTAAATTTATAAAGGAGACTTAAAGAGGCTTGGATAACTCCCTGGACTATGTAAATGGAACTGACCGACTACTTATGGAACATAAAGAACTGTGATTAGTGTATACTTCGAAGAATAACCTCAGGGTTGAACAAATGGTTCTTGGGCTATTGGCCAAAAATGGAATTTATTAAAACAAGATAAGATGCAACATAAGGAGGAAACAAGCAGAACTTTGAACGAAATGGACTTGATGTTTCAAAGCATAAAGGATATTATACAGAAAGAACATAAGGCAATTATGGAATTAATGGATGGCATAGATCAAAAATTGAAAAATATTATACAAAGGACAATGAGTAATGACCAAGATGGCCAAGAAAGAAAGGAGCTAGCAGAAGGAATAGAGGGAAAAACAGAATTGAGGAATCAATGAAAAGAAGATGAGGAGTCATTGATAAAATTAATAATGTTTGATGAATCAAACCAGGGGGAAAACATTCTAAGAGATCTGAAAACAGAATGGGACGAGCAGGAAGATACTTTGGGAAGGGAGACAGGGGTCTGGGTTGATAATTTCAAAGCTAGACTGTGGAAGAGGGTAGGGATAGGAGAAACATTTAGATTGACTAGGCAGGATGTAGACACAGATACAGACAGAGATAAAGATTTAAGAGAAGAATATGGGAGGCAAGTTTAAAAAAGAATAAGAATTAAAGTATTGATGCGGGCAAGAGATGATGGATAGAAGGCGGATAGGAAAAAGAAGAAAGAAAAAAAATATTTTCTTTCTTTTTTTTATAATGGTGGCAGGAGGAGAACAGAGATAGGAATGTGTTCAATAAGAGATTGAGGGATTACTTGTACATATACCTTTACATTATGAAACAAAAGCATAATAAAACGGGAAAATTAGAGATTGAATGATGGTATTATTAAGTAAGGTTAAATAACATTGTGATTGGTAAATGCTGATTAAAGAACGAAAAGAACTTTTAATATAAACGTGTATTAATACTAGAATCATATAGATTGGATGAAAGCAAAGAATATGAATAGAGTATTCTGTATGTTTAAATAATATTGTGATTGGTATTAGAATAGTATATTGAAACATTGAATAATGAAACAATGAAGGATAATATTTTAATATAAATAGATTCAAAGAGTGAAATATGGGAAATATGAATAATAATAAGTAAGTATTAAAAAGCAAAAAATTAGAGATTGAATAATGGTATTATTGAGTATATTTAAATAATATTATGATTTGTAGTGGAATAATAAAGTGAAACAATGAGTAATAAAACGATGAAAGAACATTTTAATATAAACAGGATAGTGGAATCATATAGATTGGATTAATAGCGGAATCATATAGATTGGATGAATGTAAAGAATATGAATAGAATTAATTTGTATGTTTAAATAATATTGTGATTGGTGTATTAGAATTGTATATTTAAATATTGAACAATGAAATAATGAAGGATAGTATTGTAATACAAAGGGAATGTCTTTTAATACAACGTTGACATGAATAAAAGTTAGTTTTGCATCAAAACAATCAGATTAACTGTAAACTTAAATTCTGATTTAATTATTTAAGGCAGGGATGGAAACATGTGGTCCTTCAAATGTTGCTACATTACATCTATTAGTAGCCTTCACCATCAGTAATGCTAACTAAAGTTGCTGTGAACTCTAAGTTCAGCAACATTTGAAATTTAACAAGTTCCTAGTCATACTTGAAAAGAAATCCATTTATCACCTTACTATGTACCTTTTTTCTTTTAAAATACTCAATATTATCTCCTCAATTAGTCGGAGTACGTGGATAATCTTAAAGTTAAAACTTGAAGAAGCATTTTGCAAAATTCAGGACTGAATCTACAATTGTGCTTAAAAATATTTTCAATATTTCTGCATAAATACTGTCTAAAATGTGATCTGTTTTCTACACATCTTAAAACTGGATGAAGAGAATCCAATTATATGAACAAGTCAAAACATTATACTAGTTCATTTATTTAAGAAAATTGCGCAGGAAGCGGGCAAGCATGTGCGTGTGCTCTCCATTTATGTGCAGCAGGCACACATGCCCACCACTCATGCAAATGGAGCTGTACACTCATGCACATCTACCCATTGTTCGCACAGAACCATCCTTTCTCCACCCCCCACCAGTCTGCAAAACCAGAAAGGTTGCGGAACTGTGATGTAAATAATTTTACCACTTCACAGCAATCAAAACAATCCACAGACAAAACTAAATGTACTAAAAAATACATACCAGAGTGGATTGAGAACAGTTTTGCAGGTTGGTCTACTGCATAAAACAGGCTCATACTGGACAGGTGGTAAATCTAACCGTTCTTTCAACGGTGTTAGAAGACAAGCCAATGGAACAACCATTCTGGTGGCCTCCAATCTGCTGGAAGGCCAAACATTCCAACTGAAGCGAACTCCATCACGCTCTTCATTTTGTTGGATAAATTCTAGGCAAGTCGCCATAGAATTGTATTTCTGCAAAACCAGAACACAAGTTTGAAATACAATTTTAGAGCCTTGAATAAAATGGCAGTTTCTTTCCACCCAATGAACTGAAAACCATGCACAGTATATAGTATATTATTCAGGTACTCAGAGGCTTCACTATAAAATTACTCAACCAGTGACATTCACCTGTAATATTGAGGGGAGGGGGTTGTTCTAATTTGATAACATGCTACAATGGCTGGTTCACATTTAACTATAACCATGGATTTATAAACACAAAGGGTCAATTCACATATTATGAACATAATTACCTTATTTATAATGCTACGTTTGAAAACAGCTATCATTTGTAACTCATTCATTCTTTCAGACAAGCAGTTGTGTTCCTTTGCAAAGAAGGGTAAAATAAAAATGAAATAAATCCTTTTTTCATGCCTTTCTTTTGCCATTCTCCAGATGGTATTTCAAACAGTTTACAATTATAAACACTGTTTTGCCTTTTGTTTCTCTACACCTTTTTTTGTTTATTGAACAGTGTGTTTTTTGCTTCTGTCCTGCATTTTTTTCTTTTTCTAAAAAAAGAAATTCTTCTGGAGCATCTTTGATATTTTGAAATACTGAAAAGGTTAGCTTAATAGAATAAATACTATTGATGTCTATTGTATCCGTATTATAAATGATCTTTAACTAAACTTGGCCGTCACATTTTTGCCAGGGAAATACAGGAAAAAAATAGGCAGACATTCAAAAAGGAAACAATAACTCTATATAATGCTACTTCATTGCTGTGGTTTAAGAAGAACAGGTATTCTTAAACAGCAGCTTATATAGCAGTGGGACTTTATGTAAAGCTAGTAGGTTAATTACTAAGTTTATGTAAAATGTAAGCTTGTGTAACAAAATCTATAATTGGGCCTCAGACTACCAAAATATGTTTTAGACAAATCAGGTATTCATGCAAGCAATTATCATATATCAAGGATACATTCACAGCAGCTATCAAAAACCAGCTTGAAGAGTTAGTTAACACACAACTTTGATAAAAGAGCAATCTATTTTCAAACTACTTAATAGAAATTTAAGGATGCAATTCTAATTAAATTTACTGGAAGTAAACTCATAAACTCAAAGCTAAATCACAATTAGGCACTAAGGTATGAACCAAGGCATTAAGCGATACAGGACTAAACGCTTGGGACAATGGGACATTGTGGATAGAGTCATAATACTAGGTAACACAGCTATGCAGGTAGTCTGACTTATGATCACAATTGAGCCCAAAATTTCTTTTGCTAAGCAAGACAGTTCGTAAGTGAGTTTTGCCCCATTTTATGACCTTTCTTGGCACAATTGTTAAGTGAACCACTACAGTTGTTAAGTTAATAACATGACTACTAGCTTAAGTAATGGTTAAGTGAACCTGGCTTCCCCATTGTCTTTGCTTGTCCTGGGACATTGCAACTGTCATAAATATGAGATAGTTGCCAAGTGTCTGAATTTTGATTGATCATGGCGATGCTGCAATGTTCGTAAGTGTGAAAAACTGTCATAAGTCACTTTTTCCAGTGCTATTGTAACTTTGAACAGTCACTAAATAAACTATTGTAAGTAGAGGACTTTAATATATTCAAAGGGCAAATTCTTGTTCGATTTTTATACAGAAATAACTGAAATAAATTGGCAATACCACCATGCGTTTATATTAATTTGTGGCAGTGCCACAAACATTCATATTACACTTTTTGAAAAAGAAATAGACCTACAAAAAGACAAGTTTTCTAAATGAAAGACTGTATGGATGGGCAACCATCATTCCCCAGATCACTTTTCTTGCTGCCCACCAATCTCTGTCCCACCTGATTTTTGTTTCAGATATTTTTAACGAAAAAACAAGAAAGCAGCATGTTGCAACGCACCAACCTCCAGCACTGTACTTATTTACAATAATGCCTTTAGGCTTCAGAAGGTTGCACTGGCAAAGTTGAGAAGTATTAAGTACCCCAAAAGAAATTTTCCCATATAAAAAATTGCACACTGAACTGAAGAAGCTTCTCGGATGAGAAGGGAAACGTTTTAATTCAAAAGGAAAAAAAAATCCCAAGGAAGTCCAGTTGCCTTCTTGAAAAGCACCTTTGGGAGAGCCCACTAAACAGTCAGTTCTAATTTACTGGTGATGATGCTCTCTGTGTATATAACATACCGACGGCCAACAGTTACAAACGGTTCAGTAAACGAGTGACTGAACTGACGGGAATTCTTCCGTTAACCGGCTAACGCTTCAAGAGAGGAGAGAAGGAGCCGGAAAGAAGTTCAAACCGGGGGGGGGGGGGGGGGGAAAGGCCCAAAGGCCGAGAAGGCCCCCCCCACAACAGCCTCCGATGCCCCCCAATGGCCACCTCGAAGAGGAAACATTCAGGAGAAGAAGAAAAAGGGGGAAAAAAATCCAACCTCTCGACAGCTCACGAGACACGGACTCCCCTCTTCTGCGCTTCCTCTCCTCCCTTCGCCTCAAAGAAGAGCGGCTGCCTCTTCGCCGCCTGGACCTGCTTCCACGGCTAAGCCACGCCCACGTCGCTAAGGCCAGCTCAGCACCACCTCGCCCGGACTTAAAATGGGGGCTGTAGCATCAGCTCCTGCCTCTCTCGCCTTCTTTCAGTTCCTGGTGATTTCGAACGCCGCGATCCGAAGGGCAGATAGAGAAGCCGGCTGCCCGCGCTAACTACAAAAGCAATCGGGAACTTTGATTTCTAAAGAGCTGGTTGCGCTGACCTAACTTTTTCTCTATTCCAATGGTTTAGATTAGAAGAGTATTTTGGCCGCTGAGGAAGGTGGTGTCGCCTTTATGCCGTTGAGTATAATATGATTCTCCCTTCAGTCTGGAGAATTGCCCTCTTCCAAAATGGCAAACGGGGGAAGGCAGGCAGAGAACAGTCATAGACGTTGGAAAAGAGGGTCAGTTGCTTTTTCCGTTTGTGACTATAGTTAAGAGAGTACAAAGGAAGTAATTCGGGCTGTGCTGAGCTTTATCGCTGCTTTTCTCGTCCCTCCTACCTGCTACAATAACCGATGGAGCCGAAAGTAACAGTTCATACTTCGTGTAACTTTATTTAAGCAAATGTTTTATTTTTTTTTTTTCTAGTTTCTTTAACGCTGATGAAAACAAGGGAGCGGTTTTATCCATGTGGCAAGCAAATTAGGATTTCCTGAATGTGTCAGAGTGGCACATATTGATGCAGCAAAGGTGCTCTTTGCACTGCAGATCCTAGTGTTGTGACTCAAGCTGAGAAAAGGGGGCAGCTGAGCACCAGGCTTCTTGATCTCTCTCTCTTGGCAATAGCTGAGAGGCTGTTAGTCAAGACAAGTTTCTATTCAAAATTGAAATAAATTTTAAACGTTTATTAACAAAAACTATAGAACCTGGGTTTTTTTTTTTCAGACCCTGGTTAGGTATGCCTCGTGTAGTAACATATCACCATGGAAGCTCCTACAGAAAGAAGCAAGAGACTATTTCATTCAAAGACTAGTATAATATATAAATTATAATTTAGAATGATACAGTATCCAAAAGGTATAAAATACTGGCACAGATTCTGTACTGTCACAGATAATTAAGCAGTTATCCCCTTTCAATATCTGCAGGCAACGTTAGAGTCATTCAGAGAGACTGTTATTTCTCTCAAGGTACCAAAGATAAAATTAGTTTGGTTAATAGCAGTATTGCCCAGAATCCTTGTAAAAGGGGTGCGCAGAAAAAAAATAATCTCAATATTCCACAGAAAACATCAAATCTACACAATGTACTTATTTTACACAGGCTAAAAATGGTGGGAAAGTATACTTCTCTATGTGTTTCTTGAAATAATTTTTACATAGGTTTATTATTATTATTATTGTGCTTTTTTCTTAACCTCTGAATTTTAAATCTCACATAGCTTTTATCTTCCACAATTAGGTAATTTATTAGCTCTCCCACTAAAAGAGATAAGATGGGAAAAAACAATATCAGAAAATAAACTCTGGAATGCAGTTAGAAAATAAACCACAAAAGCAGCAAAATTTAAAAAGTTCTTAGGCGTAATGAGGATAAAAATTGTAAGTAACTCTAATGATAGAATGAATCCAGTGCACTTGTTAAATAGATAATCATATAATAGCATGGGACTTGCAAACAGTGGCCAAAAGTCAACAAAATTTAGAATTCATCTGCCTTGAGGAAGAATCAAATTACCAACAATCCCTTCTGCTGCCATTTCAATCAATACTCTGTTGATTAAAGAAGGGGTTTGTGATGTATAAGGGGTTGATATTATCCTTTGGAAAGTCAATAAGCATTGGCTACAGATGAAATCAGTAATATTTTCATTCTGGGTCTGGAACTTTTGAAACAGATGCTTGCTATATTTCCAAAGTATTGAGAGAAATTAGCAAAGATTGTGCTAGCAAAAAATTCTGGAATTAAAAATGAACAATGTTATGAATCAAGAAAAATCTTTGAGCAAATTAAAAGGATGATAAAACACAAAGAGAATGTCCCTTCAAATATAGGAGAAACAGGAGACTAGAATTAAGAGGAATTGCACATTTCAAAATAATTTGATCACCACATGATCACAGGTAGTCCTTGACTTAACCAGTCACTTAGCGACTATTTGAAGTTATGACAGCTCTCCCCAGAGCTACTTGTGACCTGGTTTTGAAATTCTGATGGCCACCACCCCTTTCTGCACAATTATGCGATCATATTTTGGGTGCTTGGCAACCAGCTTGCATTTACTGCCATTTACAGCAGCCTTTGTTCACAGTTTACATTTTTTCTGGAAAGAGATATTTACTTCTTGTTTTTTGGAAAAAACAGCCATTCAGTTTGCTTAATCACTGCCACTTGTAAAATCAGGCATGGTGACATGGTGATATGCTTATTGCCCTGATTTTCCAGAATGAATTCGCCTTGCCAGTTAATAGACTCCATAACCAGTTAAAGGAGCTGTATATAATTCAAATGTCGACAAGTTTAGACCTTGGGGTCTTGAATGGCACATTGAATACTGACTCTGCAGTGGAATATATCCATTGGGACAGGAGAAAGCCCCCACTTGATAGATTATGCTGTGGTTTCAAAGATCTTAGTTTTCTTCCTGTAAATATTCACAATCTTTATGTGTTCTGATAGTGATCACTTTCCAGCTGTTCTTCACCTGAGATTTCCTGAGATTATTGATACTTGAATATTAGTTCTATTCCTCAAATGGACTATGAAATAGGTTCAACTCAAATAGTCGCCTTGCCAGGACTATCTGGTAAAAAGCATATTATAGTCTGAAGAGGGAATTTAAGTTTGCTTTGTGATTATGGAAAGTTTGGAGGGATTTATTCTAGAGAATTATACTAAACTCTTATCTTAATTCTATCATTGATACATAGAGCATAGAGCAACACATCAACCTGCGTGCAGCTGTATTCCTTGTACTGTACCTCAGCAGGATTATTGCCAGGCTTCTGCTTACTTGAGTGACCCTCAACATGCCAACAGACTTAAGAAGTGTGGTGAGGAAGGTCTTTTTTGGGGTGTGGAGAATCAGAGGAACAGATGTAAGTCTAGTAGCTGGAGATAGTCAGGCAATGAACATGGTGCCATTGACAGTGCAATGACAGGGATCAGTGATAATAAATGTTGGCAATCTTGTATGCCCCAACAAGGGCAGAGGATGTTGCCCTGCAGTACCAGCACCACTGATTTACACATAAGTGCTGCTGCTGAATCAGTGGCCATGACATAATTGCTAATGAACCCAACACCATTCAGATTCTTTGGATCTTAGTGTGAAGCTACTGGTTCCTTGATGCTCCTTTATAATAGCTTCTTGTTTCAGAAAATGCTGGAGACCATTTGTTGTGAGCTTATATTCATGTCATCAAGTATAAAAATGGAAACGGGTCATAACCAAAGCAGAATATCAGCAAATAGTCCAAATTTGCAAGAACAAAATCAGGAAAGCTAAGGCTCAGCATGAACTAAGAGTTGCAACAAATGTGAAAAATAACAAAAAAAAGTTTCTTTCAGTATGTAAAGAACAAGAAAAAAGTCAAGGAAATGATCCATCCACTAATGGGAGAAGATGGTAAGAAGGTGACGGACAGCAGGGAGAAAGCGGAACTGCTTAATACCTTCTTTGTCTTTACACAAAAGCGGGGGGGGGGGAGCCTAACCTACCAAAACCAGCACTGTGAGAGACAGAACAGGAATGCAAGTCAAAATAGGCAAGTAATTGGTAAGAAAATTCCTATCCACTCTACACAAGTTCATATCTCCAGGACCAGAAGGTTTACATTCCAGGGCTCTGAAGGAGCTGGCAGATGTGATCTCATAACCACTGAACAAAATCTTTCACAGCTCCTAGATCTGTGATGGCGAACGTATGGCACGTGTGCCACAGGTGGCACATGGAGCCATATCTGCAGGCACGTGAGCTGTTGCCCTAGCTCAGCTCCAGCACGCATGCGCACACCGGCCAGCTGATTTTTGACTGGCCCTGCCCACGCCACCCCTCCTCTCCCAGGAGTCTCCACACGGCCCGTTTTGGATGCCAGGTAAGTACAGGGCTCACACGGAAGCTCTGGGAGGGCGTTTTTGGCCTCCGGGGGGGGCGGGGAAGGCCGTTTTCACCCTCCCCAGTCTCCAAGAAAGCCTCTGGAGCCTGGGGAGGGTGAAAAATGGGCCTACCGGAAGTCTGGAAATAGGTATTTCCGGCCTCCAGAGGCTTCAGGGAGGCCTGCTAGGCCCAAAAAGGGGCACGGGGTGTGTGTTGTGTGCGCATGCACGAGGGGGTCATGCACGGGGCATGATGGGCATTGAATTATGGGTGTGGGCATGCACGCAACCCCCCTCACTCCCCCCGCTTTTGGAACATGACAGCAAAAAGGTTAGCCATCACTGTCCTAGATCATTGGTGAACTGACAGAAGCTTCTTGGATTAGAAGCGAAATGTCTTCAAAGAAAAAACAAGACAGTCCAGTTGTCTCCTGAAAAAGCACCTTTGGGACAATTGATGTGGTTCCAATCTACAAATAAAAGCGGGGGAGTGGATCCAGGAAACTATAGACCAATCAGCTTGACATCAATACCTGGGAAGATCCTGGGAAAGATAATTAACAGCAAATAGTTAAGCATCTAGAAATGAACAAAGCAATCACCAGAAGCCACCATGGGTTTATTAAAAACAGATCATACGAGACAAACTTTATTACCACCTTTGATAAAAATGACCAAATTAGTGGATCAGAGAAATGCTGAAATGCTGTGGATATATGTAGTGTACCTAGACTTCAGTAAGGCATTGGACAAAGTAGACCATATCCTACTTCTTGGTAAGATAGAGCAATGTACCACCACCAGAACCACCAGATGCATTCAAAATTGGCTGACCATCTGCACTCAGTGTGTAGTCCTCAAAGAGACTACATCTACATGGAGGGAATCATGCAGTGGGGTACCTCAAGGTTCTATTTTGGGCCAGTGTTCATCTATCTTTTCATAAGTGATCTACACAAAGGAATAGAACGAGAGTATCAAATTTGCAGATGACACCAAGTTGGAGGGAATTGCTAACACTTTGGAGGACAGACTCAAAATTCAGAAGGATCTTGACAGACTTGAGCATTGGGTTCTAGCTAACAATGCATTTCAATGGTTAGAAAACTAAGGTCCTACACCTAGACCGGAAAAATCAAATGCATAGGTATAGAATAAATGGTACCTGGCTCAAAGTGAGATAACAGAGAGATCTAGTGGACCATCAGTGTGCTACAGCTGCCAAAAAGCTAATTCTAGGCTGCATCAACAAAGGGATAGCATCAAGATCATAAGTATTAGTACCACTTTATACTGTACTAGTGAGGCCACACTTTGAATACTGCATCCAATTCTGGTCACCACAATACAAAAAAGATGCTGAGGCCCTAGAAAGAGTACAGAGAAGAATAACTAAGATGATAAGAGGTCTGCAGGATAAATCATATGAGAAATGGTTAAGGGAACTAGGTATGCTTAGCCTAACAGAACAATTAGAGTGACATGAAAGCTGTCTTCTGGAATATGGGGGGCTGTCACAGAGGTGGGGATCAACTTATTCTCCAAAGTTCCTACAGGTAGGACAAGAAGCAATGGATGCAAGCTTGTTAAAGAGAGATCATACCCAGAACTACGGATAAACTTCCTGATAACAAGAACAACTAATCAATGGAACAGCTTGACTCCCAGAGTTATGGGTGCAACAATTTGTCCAGGATGATATAAGGTCTCCTGCCATGGTCAGGGGGATGGACTAGAAGACTTCCGAGGTCTCTTCCAGCCCTATAATTCTATGATCTCATAGAACAGAGGTCTTCAAACTTGGCAGCTTTAAGACTTG